ACTCCGCTAACCCCTGGCAGCCACTGATCTTTTTACTGTCGCCATAGATTTGCCTTTCCCACAGTGCCGCATATTAGGAATCATAAAGTATATGGCTTTTTCAGGTTGGCTTCTTTCACTTATCAATATGCATTGAAGTTTCCTCTGTCTGTTTGCATGGCTTGATGGCTCACTTCTTTTTTTTTTTTTTAAAGATTTTATTTATTTAATTGAGAGAGAGAGAATGAGAGATAGAGAGCATGAGAGGGAAGAGGGTCAGAGGGAGAAGCAGACTCCCTGCTGAGCAAGGAGCCCGATGTGGGACTCGATCCCGGGACTCCAGGATCATGACCTGAGCTGAAGGCAGTCGCTTAACCAACTGAGCCAGCCAGGCACCCCTGCTCACTTCTTTTTAATGCTGAATAATATTCCATTGTCTGGATGTAGCCCAGCTTACTAATCCATTCCCCTCCTGAAGGACATCTTGGTTGCTTCCAAGTGTTGGTGATTATAAATAAAGCTGCTATAAACATCCATGTATAGGTCTTTGTAGACCGAAGTCGTCAACTCCTTTGGATAATTACCAAGGAACAAGAATTCTGGATCCTATAATTGTTTGTATTTCTTAGTGTTGGTTGTGATCTCTCCTCTTTCATTCATGATTTTATATATTTGGGTCCTTTCTTTTTTCTTTTCGATTAAGTCTGGCCAGGGGTTTATCAATCAGAAGACATGAACAGACATTTCTGCAAAGAAGACATCCAAATGGCCAACAGACTCATGAAAAAGTGCTCAACATCACTCGGCATCAGGGAAATCCAAATCAAAACCTCAATGAGATATCACCTCACACCAGTCAGAATGGCTAAAATTAACAAGTCAGGAAATGACAGATGTTGGCGGGGATGCGGAGAAAGGGGAACCCTCCTACACTGTTGGTGGGAATGCAAGCTGGTGCAGCCACTCTGGAAAACAGTATGGAGGTTCCTCAAAAAGTTGAAAATAGAGCTACCCTAGGACCCAGCAATTGCACTACTGGTTATTTACCCCAAAGATACAAATGTAGGGATCCGAAGGGGTACGTGCACCCCAATGTTTATAGCAGCAATGTCCACAATAGTCAAACTGGAAAGAGCCAAGATGTCCATTGACAGATGAATGGATAAAGAAGATGTGGTATGGATATATATATATATATATATATACACACACACACACACAATGGAATATTATGCAGCCATCAAAAAGAATGAAATCTTGCCATTTGCTACGATGTGGATGGAACTGGAGCTTATTATGCTGAGCGAAATAAGTCATTCAGGGAAAGACATGTATCATATGACCTCACTGATATGACGAATTCTTAATCTCAGGAAATAAACTGAGGGTTGCTGGAGTGGTGGGCGGTGGGAGGGATGGGGTGGCTGGATGATAGACACTGGGGAGGGTAAGTAGTATGGTGAGCACTGTGAATTGTGTAAGAGTGTTGAATCACAGACCTGTACCTCTGAAACAAATAATACATTACATGTTTAAAAAAAAAAGAGAGAGAAGAAGAAGATAGCAGGAGGAGAAGAATGAAGGGGGGAAAATCAGAGTGGGAGACGAACCATGAGAGACTATGGACTCTGAGAAACAAACTGAGGGTTCTAGAGGGGAGGAAGTGAGGGGATGGGTTAGCCTGGTGATGGGTATTAAAGAGGGCATGTTCTGCATGGAAAAAAAAAGTTGAAAAGAGAGCTACCGTATTGACCCAGCAATTGCACTACTAGGTATTTACCCCAAAGATACAAATGTAGTGATCCGAAGGGGCACATGCACCTCAATGTTTATAGCAGGAATGTCCACAATAGCCAAACTATGGAAAGAGCCTAGATGTCCATCAACAGATGAATGGATAAAGAAGATTTGTGATGTATATACAATGTAATATTATGCAGCCATCAAAAAATGAAATCTTGCCATTTGTAACAATGTGGATGGAACTAGAGCATATTATGCTAAGCCAAATAAGTCAATTAGAGAATGACAATTATCGTACGATCTCACTGATATGAGGAATTTGAGAAACAAGACAGAGGCTCATAGGGGAAGGGAGGGAAAAATGAAACAAGATGAAACCAGAGAGGGAGACATACCAAAAGAGACTCTTAATCTCAGGAAACAAACTGAGGGTTGCTGGAGTGGAGGGGGGTGGGAGGGATGGGGCGGCTGGGTGATGGACATTGGGGAGGGTATGTGCTATGGTGAACACTGTGAATCGTGTAAGACTGATGAACCACAGACCTGTACCCCTGAAACAAATAATACATTATATGTTAATTTAAAAAAAGAATGCTGGATCCTATAGTAACAGTATGTTTAGTGTTATAAAAACAAAACGAACAACAAAAGAATCACCACCAACTGTCTTCCAGAGTGGCTATATCATTTCGCATTCCCACCCCAAAGAGTGAGAGTTCCTCTTACTCCACATCCTCAACAGCATTTGGTGTTGACAGCGTTCTGTCATTCTAATAAGCATATAGTGGTATCTCACTATTGTCTTTTTTTTTAAGATTCTATTTATTTTTTGAGAGAGAGAGGGCATGAGTGAGGGGAGGGGGAAGAGGGGATACAGGGACAAGCAGACTCCCTGCTGAGTGGGAAGCCCAATGTGGGGCTCCATCCCAGGACCCCAAGATCATGACTTGAGCCGAAGTCACTCACTCAGTTGACTGAGCCACGCAGGTGCTCCCTTTCACTATTGTCTTAACTTCCATTTCCCTGAAGGCATATGATGTGGAGCATCTTTTCATATACATATTTGCCATCTGCAGATTTACTTTGGTGAAATATCTGTTAAGATCTTTGGCCCCATTTTTTAATCAAGTCATTTGTTTTCTTATTGTTGAACTTTAAAATTTTTTCATTTTTGAAATATACATGTGTGTATGTATATATATATATACATATATACATACACACATATGTATGTACATAAAAGAGAGCAAGATGTCATTTTTTTCCAGAAAAGAATGTCATTTTTTTATTTTAAAAAGTTTTTTAATGGAAGTACAGTGTTATATTAGTCTGAGGTGTACAATATATTGATTCAACAATTCTGTACATTGTTCAGTGCTCCTCACAGTAAGTGTGCTATTAATCCCCTTTATCTATTTTGCCCATCGCCCCCACAAGCACACAAACCTCACGTCTGGCAACCATCAGTTTATTCTTTGTATTTAAGAGTCTGGTTTTCGTTTGTTTGTTTGTTTGTTTGTCTCTTTTTTCTGTTTGTTTTGTTTCTTAAATCAAAATACACATGAATAAAATCATATGGTATTTGTCTTTGTCTGACTTATTTCACTTAGCAAATACCCTCTAGGTCCATCCATGTTGTGTAAGTGACAAGATCTCATTCTTTTTTTATGGCTGAGTAATATTCCATTGTATATATGCACCACATCTTCTTTATCCTTTCATCTATTGGGTTGTTTCCATATCTTGGTTATTGTAAACAATGCTGCAGTAAACACAGGGGTACATATATCTTTTTGAATTAGTGTTTTAATTTTCTTTGGGTAAATACCGAGTAGTGGAATTTATGGCAAAAAATTTTGATCATATGACAATTCTATTTTTAATTTTTTGAGGAGCTTTCATACTGTTCTGCACTGTGGCTGCACCAGCTTGCTTTCCCACCAGCAGTGCACGAGGGTTCCTTTTTCTCCCTATCCTTGCCAACACTTGTTATTTCTTGTCTTTTTTACTCCAAGGGTTCTTTGTATGTTTTGGATAACAGTCAGATATGTCTTTGCAAATATCTTCTCCCCAGTCTGTGGCTTGTCTTCTAACCTGATACTACCTTTCACAGACTGAAGTTCTCAATTTAATAAAGTCCAGCTTATTGATTCTTTATTACATGGATCACACCTTTGGTGGTATATCTAAAAAGTCATCACCATGACCAGGCCAGTGCTTTCTAGAGTGTATTTTGTAGACAAGTCAGGTGTGGACCTTGCCAAATGCACATTCTGATTGAGAAGATCACATACAAGGACCAAGATTTAGCATTTCTAACAGGCTCCCAGATGATGCTGATGCTGCTGAAAGCCACAGATGACACTTTACTGCTCAGGTTCAAGGAAGAAGACAAGTCCCACCAATACTATTAACCATAAGTTGTTAAGTCCTTGCCGTTCTTCAGATACTGTGCTAATTAAGCACTTAACAAATACAGCAATTAATTTAATGCTCACAACTCTATAAAGCAGATATTTTATCTAGCCAGGACTTTCTTTAGTTCTAGTTTCCAGTGCTAGAAACCCAACCAAAACTAATACCAACAAAAAAGAAAATTTGAAGAAACACATTAAGAGGGAAGTCTGGAGGTAATTGTGGCCTTGGGAATGATGACAAGGGAGAGGGTCTCTCCTGGAGTGATATGACCCTGGTACCCCTCCCCCTCTCTTCCCTCTCCTCCCCCCACTTACGTTTGGCTCTCTTTGGTTTATTCTCTCCTACTCCAGACAGGGTTTCCCCTATGTAATAGGAAACATGGCTTCAGCAGCTCCCTTTAGTTCTTGATGCAAGGAGAAAGACAGGGTTGGCCTCTGTCGTTAGAATAAATAAGACCCCAGAGAAGGATTCCAATTGACCTCACTCAAGTCACTTTCCCAGCTTTCAGCTGCTCTCTGTGGTCAAGAGAGTGCGTCACTATTGTTGGCCAGGTCTGAGTTCCATGTCCAGCCCTGTGGACAGAGATGTGGGGCTGGTGAACGGCAGCCCCTCCAGCACCAGATGGCGTTGGACCATTCCCCAGAGAAAGAGACACCTAGCAGACAAAACAACAGAAACCAACAACAGAGTCAGCATCTCTACTTCATCAGTGAGAAAACTGAGATTGGCAAAGTTTCATCAACCTGCTCAAGTTACACATCTAGTAAGAGAATGAGCCAGGTTTCCCCAAAAGTGCTATTCAGACATGCACTGGAGGGCCTGAAACCAAGCCCACCTCTCACTTACGAGATTAGGCTAACATGGCAGAGTCAGCTGGTCACTGCTGCATGAATCTGACTCTGGCTCTGTTGGAAGAATGTTCCTCTCACCTGCAATCAAAGGGCCTCACTATTATACCACATATTTTATTGAAGAAGCTTATCGTAGCCTCCTGCAAGTGGTAATGAGAGCAGAAAACCCCTCTCCTCTCCCCTGTTGAAAAAGGACCTGACACTGGAGCTATGTCTAAAAGAGAAGAATGCATAATAGGACAGAGATTCAGGGGCACATGAACAGGGAGTCTGGACCGCACAGTGAAGAAGGCTTGGAGCCCGACTCATGGATCTCAAGGCTCCTCCCTCAATAAAGAGGAGTAAAGGGAGCAGGAGAGAGAGAAGGGGGCTTTCTAACTCTACTGAGACTGTAGCAAGGTCGGTGACACAGCACCGGAGGTGTGAAGATAAGTGGGGGATTACCACTGTCTTGACCAGCTCGCTGTCCCACAACATTCCCTTCCTCACAGGGAACCTCTTTGACCCTCCCAATTACACCAGCCTCTTATCATACCCTCTGTGCTTCCTGCACATAATGATCACAGTTTGTCACAACATACGGCATGGTCCTTCATGAATGACTATCTCCTCTGCTAAACTAAGTTTGGGGAGAGCACATCTGTCCCCCCATTCTGTGCCCAGTATCTCACATGCTGAGTACATAATAGGTGCTCGGTTGATAAATATGGAATTATTAATTATTTTAAAAAGACTGTCCTATGATATTTTCATCAGTGAACTAAACAGATGAAAAAGTGCAGAATGTGATCCTATTTTAACTAATTGCATAGAAATAGAAACCAAATGACTTATAATGGTCATTGATGAGTGGTAGAATTGGGGCATGTTATTTTGATACTTTAATGTTTTCTAATTTCTCTACAGTGAAAACTTCATTACACAATGTCTACTGTAATAAAAATGACAAAGAAAAAAACTGTCATGTTCTAAGTCATTGTGTTTGAAAATAATCAGAAGTTCCCAGACCTGGGGCAGTTAAGCCTCCAGCTCCTGATTTCAGCTCAGGTCATGATCTCAGGGTCATGAGACTGAACCCTGCAGGGCTCTGAGCTCAGTGTGGAGTCTGCATGGGATTCTCTCTCCCTCTCCCTCAGCACCCCCTCCCCACTCTATCTCAATAAATAAATAAAATCTTAAAAAAAAGAAGTTCCCAGACCTTTCCCCAACACAGTTACCAGCATTCCATCTTCAACAATATCCATTATATTCCCAGAGATGGATGCTTCTTTGGGGGAACGCAGATGGTCAAGGACTCCCTCATCCTGATGCTCGTATTTGTGTGCATCCTTTGCACTTGCGCATGGAAAGCATAAGTTTTCTAAAATGTTCCTATAATTTCAGCAAAATCTAAATTGGCCCTGGAGTCACCCCACCAAGTGGAAGGAGTCAGACCAAATTCCTCCCAGGTTTGCACTTCCTAAGAGGCTGGGTTCCAACTGCAACATGTCATTAAAAAGAGATCACTCTGGCCTGTGCCACCCGCCACCTCGTGTGAAGCAAGGGGGCCTCCAGGGTCCCCGAGCGTCTTCCCCGGGTCTGCCTCGACCGCCCCGTGATCACAGACCTGTCTCGGGACCCGCGGCGGCCTCCGCGACTTCGCTCCCCGCCACCCGGCGCGGGCCTCAATCAGAAGCGCGGACCCGTGGGTCCCGGCCCGGGCCAGGGTGGCCCCGCGCCCCCGATCCCGCCGCCGCCCCAGGCCTCGCCCAAGCCCGTCGTTCCTCGGGCCCCGGCCCGGCGGCCGGAGTGGGCAGCGCCCCGCCGGCCTCGGGCTCCGCACCGCCTGCTACTCCTCCGACCTCGGGCGCCCCGACGGGGCCTGGCCCCACCCCGCCCCCGCCGCCCGCTGTCACCTGGGCGCCGCCGAGCAGCGGGGTCCCCAGCACCCCGCCTCAGGCCGGGGGCCCGCCACCTCCCCCCGCAGGGGGCCCGGGCCCCGAGGCCCGAAAGGCGGCAGAATGCCAGGCGCCCGAAGCCGGGCGGCGGGCCGAAGCCGGGCGGCGGGCCGGGCCGCAGCGCTCCTGGCGGCGGGGAGCCCCGCGGAGGCCGGCAGCGCCACCCGCCCGCCCCCCGGCAGCACCAGCGGGGCCCCCAGCCGGCGGGCCGGCGGCCGCAGCGACAGACGAGAAGCTCAGCGACTCCGGGGGGTTGGACGCCACCTCGTCTCTCTCGGGGAGGCCTGGAGAGAAAACCTCCACGCAGCGCGGGCGGCTGTTTGTTGGGAATCCACCTGCTGGCACCACAGAGGAGGAATTCAAAAGACTGTCTGCGAAATATGAGAACCAGGAGCAGCTTTTATCGACCAAGGCCAAGGATTTGGGCTCATTAAACTTGAATCTGGGCATTGGCTGAAACTGCCAAAGCTGCACTTGCTGATACACCCAGGAGAGGTAGGCAGCTTCGGGCTCGCTTTGCCACACAAGCCGCTGCCCTCTCCCTTCGAAATCTTTCACCTTGTGTTTCCAGTGAACCGTTGGAAGAAGCCTTTAGCCAACTGGGTCCTATTGAAAGGGCTGCTGTGATTGTGGATGATCGGGGCAGATCTACAGGGAAAAGCATTGTGGATCTACAGGGAAAGGCATTGTGGATCTACAGGGAAAGGCATTGTGGAATTGGCTTCTAAACCAGCAGCAAGAAAAGCCTTTGAAAGATGCAGCGAAGGTGTTTCTTCCTGACAACAACTCCTCGTCCAGTCATTGTGGAACCACTTGAACAACTAGATGATGAAGATGGCCTTCCTGAAAAACTTGCACAGAAGAATCCAATGTATCAACAGGAGAGAGAAACGCCTCCTCGTTTTGCCCAGCATGGCACATTTCAGTACGAATACTCTCCGCGATGGAAATCCCTGGATGAAATGGAAAAACAGCAAAGGGAACAAGTTGAAAAAAACATGAAAGATGCAAAAGACAAATTGGAAAGTGAAATGGAAGATGCCTATCATGAGCATCAGGCAAATCTTTTGCGTCAAGATCTGATGAGACGTCAGCAAGAATGAAGATGCATGGAAGAACTTCACAATCAAGAAATGCAGAAACGTAAAGAGATGCAACCAAGGCAAGAAGAAGAACGACGTAGAAGGGAAGAAGAGATGATGATTCGTCAGCGTGAAATGGAAGAGCAAATGAGACGCCAAAGAGAGGAAAGTTATAGCCGGATGGGCTGCATGGATCCAAGAGAAAGAGACATGAGAATGGGTGGTGGAGGAGCAATGAACATGGGAGATCCCTAAGGTTCAGGAGGCCAGAAATTTCCACCTCTGGGTGGGGTGGTGGGCATAGGTTATGAAGCTAATCCTGGAATCCCACCAGCAACCATGAGTGGTTCCATGATGGGAAGCGACATGCGTACTGAGCGCTTTGGGCAGGGAGGTGCGGGACCTGTGGGTGGACAGGGTCCTAGAGGAATGGGGCCTGGAACTCCAGCAGGATATGGTAGAGGGAGAGAAAAGTATGAAGCCCCAAACAAAAAGCCCCGATTTTAGATGTGATGTCTAGGTTTTCATTCCAGTTTGTTTTTGTCTTTTCTTGTTTAGATACCAATCTTTTAAATTCTTGCATTTTAGTAAGAAAGCTACCTTTTTATGGATGTTAGCAGTTTATTGACCTAATATTTGTAAATGGTCTGTTTGGGCAGGTAAAGTTATGTAATGCAGTGTTTCAAACAGGGGGATTTTTTTCCTTTTTATTTCCTTTTTTTTTTTTTTAACTGTATAATGTCCCTCAAGTTATGGCAGAGTACCTTGTGCCACTGAATTTCCAAAGTGTGCCATTTTTTTTTTCTGTGCTGCAAATAAATAGAAAAAATAGTTATAATATTGATCTTCAACTTCGCCATTCATGCTTCTATGCACATTAGGCCAGGTATTCCACTTTGAAAGCCTGAGCGTGTCTAGGCCTTCGAATGGCACATGCCATTTCTGGGGAATGGATCTGTAGGCTAAGTATTGCTTTCTACAAATAAGTACCCCCTTGTTTTGAAAAGAAGAAATGCATATTGAAGTAGTTTCATGATTTGATTTGTTTGGCATTAGAGGAAGCAAGCTGGTGCTAAGTATTTTTAAATGGTTATGTAAGCAAGCTGAACTGTAAATCTTCCTTCAGGAATGTGTATTAAGATTATGGAATGGGTGAAAGACTATTGGTAGGGGGAGAAAGTGGGTATGACTAAATGGCTCTTTATGGCCCTATGATCTATCCTTTCCTTGAAAGTTTCTGAAGAAAAAGTGGAAAGCTCATTCTGTTGCATTCCTCCATTCTTGTTTTTAAAAGAACAAGTCCCAAGCCCTACAAATGGCTTGTATTGAACTTTCACATTTGAATTAAAGATTGTTAAACATGAAAAAAAAAAAAGAGATCACTCTGTCTCCAGTAATGTCTGCCCACCTTAAACTTTAATTAAGCTTGCAAGACAAAACAAATGAAGGTGTTGAGAATAAAGGTAAAAATCAGTCCAGCAGAAGATGGGAATAATGGAGTTGGGAGAGGACATTTTTTATGGGAGCTGGCAGATAAGGATGGAGGCATACAAAATGAGCTACTCACTCCCAGCTCAGTCATGCAATCCTGATCATACTGTGGGTCCTGCCTAGTTACCATCTTCAGAAAACCTTTTATTGGGACAAATAGCACAGTCCACCAACTCTCCAAAGCTCTTTCTACACTGCATATATTTCTGTTTCTCATCATATAAACACAAAATTTGAACTGATTGACAACAGATGGAGGAAAGCCAAGAAGCCCTGGGTAGTGAGAAATCTAAGAAGATGTGGGTAACCTACCTCCACAACATATTTTGAATCCACAGCCTGGTTTCCTTTCTTACTTCTTCATTGCCTGAGACCTGAATCATTCTGGAAGGTCACCAACTCATGTTCAGCTTCCAGCTTTTCTTAATCTGGATTTCTGTAAACTCTTAATAAAAAGACTTTCTTTTAGGGGCGCCTGAGTGGCTCAGTTGGTTAAGCATCCAACCCGTGATTTCAGCTCAGGTCATGAGATCAAGCCCCGGGTCAGGCTCTATGTTCAGTGAGGAGTCTGCTTGAGATTCTCTCTCTCCCTTTCCCTCTGCCCCTCCCCCTGCTCACACTTTCTAAATAAATAAATAAATAAATAACTCTTAAATAAATAAAGATCCACACTACCATGACTTACCCACCAAGTTCAAGGAGGAAAGATGTGTGCATGAGGGAATCCTGTACACTGATTTGGACCAGGATGAGCTGATGCAGAGCCTGTTTGTAATGAGGAAACTGACTCCATGTTTCCCGTCTGAATATTGATGGCTCTCAGTCCTCACCCTCCTCTTCCCCCTGTACCCTTGTGTGAACATGCTCCTAGAAAGGCTGGGGACTTCCTCTGCTGGTGGGAACACTTGCCCCCATGTTAAAAGCCCTGGTTGGTCTCCTTCCCTTACTCTCTCAAGCCACTTGGGGCTACTCAAGAGGCCTGCCCTGCTGCCCAAAGACCTCCATTACATGAGCTCTACACCTTTCCATAGTCTCTCAGTATGTGTGTGGCACCATCAGTCTGAACATTTTGAAACAAACTTCAGGTAGGGTCCATCTGCCTCTGCAGAAGACCATGATGCTGTTTGGTTGGGATGCCTTGGCAAACTGCCATTGGCAGAAGGAGATCACAGGAACTGAGGGCTCCTGGGGTCTACGGGAAGAGTCCGTGATGAGCCCTAAGAAGGAATGGACTGCACCTGCACCAAGGGAATTGCTCCACAAGAAGCAATCTCTGAACAAAGCAGCTTGCTAGAGAAAGGCACTAGCTTTGCACAAATTGCACAGGCCCAGAGGGCATGTTGCCAGCCTCCAGCAGCACCTGGTGAGGATGATTATTCCTACCTCCTTAATCACTCTTCTCTCCTCACTCTCCATGGTCCAGGGGGGGCCATGCCAAATGTTTCAGAAATGAGGAAGGAGAATCCTAGAGAAGAGAATCCATCCAACCCCCTCGCCTCCCAGTTTGAAAATTTCCTGCTCACTAAGACCCCCTACATAAAAACCTGAACCTTGAATGGAGGGTGGACACAGAGACTCTTACATGGGACTCATCCTTCTAAGTACAAAATTGACACTGGACTAAAAATGACTGTGGGGTTTTTTAATACCTCAGATTGACCAGAAATATGCAATGGCCTGAGTTTTCCTCCAAGGGCAAGGGGAAACAAGCAAAGTTGAAGAGGTACAGGGAAAACCAGTGAAATTGTCCCTTGTGTCTTCAACATTCTGATTACAGTAACAACCACTGCTACCACCATTCCCCAAAGTGAAAAAGGAGAGAGTTCATGGCAGTTCCACTGGCTGGCTTGACTCTGACATCAGCAGACCACAGAAATTGATCTAGAAAGTGTACAGTCTTCTCAGAAGGCTCTGGAAGTAAGGGCCAGTGACTTTCCAGTCTAATTATAGTCTGTGAAGAGATTCTAGAGAAACACTTACAGATCATCACAGGCCACTCAAGGTCTGCAGTTACCTGGCTTCACCTATCAACTTAGGACATACCTTGGAGATATCTAAGATTATATTACAAGAGTTTACTTGTCTAAAAATATATAAGAATGTGTCTTTTGAGTTAGGGATTGAGATTTCATCGATGAATCGACAAAGCTTCAGATAAACTAGTTAATTGGGTGGGTTTGCCCAATAGCCAACAAAGGCTCTAAGTTTGGCAGTGGACTTCAAGGGTCTATGTGCCATCACCCTCAACCACCCTCTGCCACTTACTCATCCAGCCTATGGCTGAACATTGTGCCTCTCATACTGCCCTTTCTGACTAGGGCAAGGCCAGGCTCTTCATTCCCCCTTCTGTGGAGCAAAATCCACCTCCATCCTGCACCCATTAATTCTGGCTCTAACTCTGCGGTCACGGGTAACAGCCTGATTTTCTTTCCTTGAGGAAGCTCTAGCTGTGTGAAAGCAGATATCAGCCTCAGTGAGTCTTTTATTCTTCTTCATATGATCTGGGTTTAGTTTCCTCACTAATCCAAAGACCCTCTTATAATATGTTCCACTTCCTCTAAGCCTGAGCAAGTAAGCTGTGAGTTCCATGCTCCAAACACATGGTGTGGACTCTAGCCAAGAACCAGGAGAATTGGTCCAAATTCCTCCTCCTTCTAAGAATATCTATCACTGGAGCAGGCATGTACAGGAATACCTTGGAGATATTGCGGATTCAGTTCTAGACCACCCCAATAAAGCATATACCACAGTAAAGCATATACCACAACAGAGCAAGTCAAATAAAATTTTTTTTGTTACCTAGTGTATATACAAGCTATGTTTACACTACCCTGTACCCTATTAAGTGCAATAGCTTTATGTCTAAAAATAACATACATACCTTAATTTAAAATCCCAACCATCATCTGAGCTTTCAGGAAGTCATACTCTTTTTGCTGGTGGAGGGTCTGGCTCCAATGTTGACAGCTGCTGACTGCTCACGGTGGTGGTTGATGAAAGCTGGGGTGGCCGTGGCAATTTCTTAAAACAACACAACAGTGAAGTTTGCCCATCAATTGACTCTTCCTTTCACAAATGATTTCTCTGTAGCCCACACAGTTTGATAGCATTTTACCCACAGAATTTCTTTGAAAATTGGAGTCCATCCTCTCGATCCCTACAGCTGCTTTATCAACTAATTTTATGTAATATTCTAAATCCTTCATTGTCATTTCAACAATCTTCACAGCACCTCCACCAACGGTAGATTCCATCTCAGGAAACCACTTTCTTTGCTCATCCATAAGAAGTGACTCCTCATCTGGTCAAGTATTATAATGAGATGGCAGCAATTCAGTCCCCAATCTTCAGACTCCACTGCTGATTCTAGTTCTCTTGCTGGTTCTACCATATCTGCAGTGACTTACCCTACTGAAATCTTGAACCCCTCAAAGTCATCCATGAGGGTGGGAATCAATTTTCTCCAAATTCCTGTGAATTTTGATATTTGACCTCTTCCCAAGAATCATGTATGTTCATAATGGCATCTAGAATGTAAATCTTTTCCAGAAGTTTTTCAGTCTACTTTGCCCGGATCCATCATAAGAATCTATGGCAGCTATTGCCTTATGAAATGTATTTCTTAAATAATAAGACTTGAAAGTCGAAATTACCCCTTGATCCATGGGCTGCAGAATGGATGTTGCATTAGCTGATGTGAAAACAACATTCATCTCGTTGTCGATCTCCATCAGAGCTCTTGGGTGACCAGGGGCCTTAGTAGGTCTCAACAGTGGGCTTAAAATATTCAGTAAACCATGTTGCAAACAGTTGAGCTCTAACCTAGGCTTTGTTGTTCCATTTATAGAGCACAGGCAGAGTAGATTTTGCATAAATTTTTAAGGGCCCTAGGATTTTTGGAATGATCAATATGCATTGGCTTCAACTTAACGTCACCAGTTGCCTTAGCCCCTAACCAGAGAGTCAGCCTGTGTTTTGAGGCTTTGAACCCAGGCTTTGACTTCTCCTCTCCAGCTATGGAACTCCTAGATGACTCTTCCAATAGAAGGCTGTTTTGTCTCCACTGAAAATCTGTCGTTCAGTGTAGCCATCTTCATGAACTATCTTAGCTGGATCTCTGGATAACTTGCTTTGCAGCTTCTATATCTGCACTTGCTGCCTCACCTTGCACTTTTATGTTTTGGACACAGCTGTCTTCCTTACACCTCATGAACCCACCTCTGCTAGCTTTAGACTTTGATTCTGCAGCTTCCTCACCTCACTCAGACTTCATGAAATTGAAAGAGATCGAGCCCTGCTCTGGATTGAGCTCTGCCTTAAGGGAATGTAGTAGGTTTGATCTTCTATCCAGACCACGCAAACTTTCTCCATATCAGCAATCAGGCTATTTTTCTTTCTTGTTATTTGTGTGTTCACTTTTCATTTCCTTCAAGAATTTCTCCTCTATATTCACAACTTGGCTTAACCCTATAGAAGCAAAAAGACCTAGCTTTAGGCTTCAGCTTTCCACATGCTTTCCTCACTGAGTTTAATTATTTTTAGCTATTGATTAGAAGTAAAAGATGTGTGATTCTTCCTTTCACCTGAACACTAGTGGCCATTGTAGGGTCTTTAATTGGCCCAATTTCAATATTGTTGTGTCTTAGGGAATAAGAAGGCTGAAGGAGAGGGAGAGAGATGGGGGAATGGCTAGTTGGAGGAGTCAGGACACACACAACATTAAATATTAAGTTCACCACTTTATACGGGTGTGGTCTGTGGTGCCCCAAAACAATTACCATAGTAACATCAATGATTACCATAATGAATATAATAATGATGAAAAAGTTTGAAATAGTACAAGAATTAGCAAAATGTGACACAGAGACAC